ACTGCCGCGCCGTCGCGTGCCCCCCCCCCCCAACTAAGTTATCACCCGGAGGTGTTCACGTCGGCTTGCAAGTTCACTGCCTGAAGCAGAATCACTTGATTCGCTATCATCTCGCTCGCCCCTTTCCATTGTCTCCGCTCTATCCTTTCAAATCACATCCTTTCATTCCTTCAACGCTTTGAACGCATTCGCAATCTCTGTGGGCGGTCTAGATCCGAAACAGGCACTGTTTTCGCAGGCATAATCGATAGCAAGTTTTTACAAGCTTCTGCCGTGCTTGCCAGAGCGTGAACGGTTGTTTCCATCATTTTTATTAGTTTGCCAAAATTGAGGGTGCGTGTCGTTCATTACAGAAAGTAGTGGCATGGAGGAGTCCATTGTTATTGCAACTGCAGGTGCGTGCGTGGCGTAATATGTAGTGTGTAGCCGTATCCCGTTTGAAGGAATTGTTTTTTCGACAGCAACAAACTCGTCCACAATGCGCTTCTTTTTGAGGGAGAAGACCCTCACCCCCAGCCGGAAGAGGTGCCTGTGATTCCCCATAGTTTTTCAGTAGAAACAAATTGAGGATGTTGGCATTAGATTTTTTCATTTCTCCTGGCATTCTTTTTTCGGCTTTAGCAAGTGCTGAGCAATCAATTGCTCCTACGGAAACCTTTTTATTAGTTTCATTTTTTCTTGTTCCTCAGGTGCTCTTGTAGAACCAAGTTTTAACGGGACATTATTAAAATTTCGGTCCGTTAATGTATGATTTTAGCTCAATCGTATGCACAATGAAGTTAGAAGAAAAATTGAGAAGAACGAAGCTCGACTGGTTCACACAAGAGGTGAGATGCGATGCTAGTTAGAACAGAGATCTTAGCCTTTTTGAAGTAACTACCCTAATTTCCAGTAGATAAGCCCGGCCGATATCTGTAAAAACACCTCCGCTGGTGCAGTGCACTTGCGTACATCTAGAGACAACCGTAACTTGCCCATAGGGGTAATTCGATATGCTGATTACGAAAACGACATTCATTTTTAGCGGTGGCGCCATCTGGCGCCAGTTGGCGTCACCTTGTCACGACCCTTGTTTTCACCAAAATCGGTGTAAACTTCTGTATAGGGGTTATTTGGTGCCCTGATTACGAATATGACATTCGTTTTTGGCAACGTTGTTCAACGCATATCTCGGTTGGAGAGCGCAGACGAGCAGAAATCGTCCAAGGGCAGCGGTCAATCGTAAGGCTTGGTGATTGTAGGATTCTTTGGGCACTCGCATATGCACACTGTGACAGCATTTCTGCTTTCTTACCTTCCCCTCAGAAGGCTCAGTCATAGGAGGAGCAGAAAGTATGTGCTTTCCTGTCTGGACTCTCACGCGTTTGTTAAACGTGACCGCAGAAAATATTCGCCAAATAGCCCCAGGGCCGAGAATGAATGTCATATTCGTAATCAGGACACCAAATAACCCCTACGAAAGTTTACACCAAATTTGGTGAAAACAAGTGTCGTGACAAGGTGGCGCCAACTGGCGCCAGATGGCGCCACCGCTAAAAATGAAAGTCATTTTCGTCAGGGCATCGAATTACCTCTATAGGCAAATTTGCGGTAGTTTCTAAGGTGTACAAATTACACTGCACGAGCGGAGGTGTTTTTACGTGAAATCGGCGCGAGCTTATCTAGCGGAAATTAGTGCTCGACTAGGCTCGAGATTGATCCGAATATAGGCCTAAGGTTGCACGTATGTACAATTTTCAGCTGACACTCACGTTTCGGCGGAAGTTTATGATAAGAAAAAGAAAGACTTGATCGAAAAGCGGGAAATGCTGGGCAGACGCATTGAAGGTCTAATGGAGGAGGCCGAGGTAATATCACTTCATGTATAACTGCCAGCTATTTTCTTCGCAATTTCTGCCAGTTTTGTTGATTGTTACAAAGTTGTGAAACTGGAGAGAAAATCATAATAAGGTAATATAATTATATTAATATCGATAATTACACCAGGAACTATGAAAACAGTTGTATAATCAAACCAGGGTCAAGCGTCGCCGAGGAGCTCTTGACGAGCACCTCAAATTGGACCGGTGGGACGAAGGGGGTACAAGTGCTGGGATCAGCAGTGAACAAGAAAGCGATAGTCTGTTCGAAAGGAGATGGGAATTGTGGCTCGCGCTTAATCTCGCTTCACCTTGAGCCCTTGGCGCTTCTCTGATAATAACTATAAATGCGGTGCTGCTGTGGTTTTGGAAGGCACAAAGAAGCTTCCGCAAGCCTATGATAATGGCATGGTGGGGTTTACCATAGAAAAGGAAATGCAATTTTTCGCATTAACTTCACAAACATAAGCCACCCTACCTCTTTTCTCGATTGTATGCATTCGTAAGAACGTATTGCTCCTGTAAAAAGTCGCATATCCCAAATTTGTCTTTGCTAATGCCTTAAAGCCTTGGGTCAGCATCATATGTCAAGAGGTAGTTCCTTAACCAGAGAAAAAGAGGTCCCCAAGCCCAGGAGCCGCGAAACTTCTGCGACCTAGAATGGCGCGACAAACGTCCTAAGGGCTGCCTCATGTGCTGCCGGCGCTGGCACTCTATCAATCGCGGTTTACGTGGCGCTTGCGTCCTCTTGCGTACATCGTGCTCTCTCGTGCTTTTCTCTGCTCATAGCGCTGTTTCTTCGTCATACCACGGCCAATCCCACAGAGAAAGTTTCAGTGTCTATAGTGCTTGTTCTCCCCGCTCACGTTCATCATCGCTCTTCCTGACCAATTTTTAAACAAAATTAAATACAGTCGATCCCGACCCGTGCGGTTAAGAGTTTTCCCATTATTTGCATGAGTTCAACCCTTTGAATGGTTCAAGTAGAAATCTTTCTAAATCTTCCTTCTGATGGTAGTTTGTTCGCTTTGAGGGAGATTATGGCTTTTCGGAAATGGCCACGGTTTCTACCTTCTGTAATGCCCGCTAAGGTCGACGTACACGTTACAGCAACAATCCTACCTCATGTCCAGCCCTTCTGCAAAAGGGTTGTGCTGGCGACTCTAGTCGATGGGGGAAGGTCGCATTTGCAATTTTTCTTGCGACACTTCGTTTATCGCCACTCACCGTTATGTGGTCCACGCGCTTAAAGGGGCTTTTACAGTAATTAAAAATTTGTAGTCTTCTTCGGGAGCAGGGAAAAATCGATATAGCTGAGCCGCGGTTGCGAGCGATAGTTAGGAGATCCACCTTTCATAAAGGATGGCATATTTTATATGGGCGATTGGTTAAGAAATCTTCAAATTTAAGCTCACCTTAACATAGCAACTGGTTTAACATAATTGAGCGCCGCATCTCCTATCTGTACAAGCAGTTACATACCTTCGAAGTTTTCCATTCCTATACAAGTGGGTGTTGTTTGTTGTTCTTAAGAATCCACGTGGTGCATTTTGACGAATTTCTTGTTCTCAGATCGAAGGTGCACAAGGTAATGTTGCTGCCGCGCAGACTGCCGTGCAAAAAGCAGATGAGCTTACTGTAAGTCATGAATCACTATAGAACTTTTCTTATTAGCCTCTTCATAGTCTTCATGAATTGTCTCCTCTTCATGGTTTGTTAATTTCATGCCTTACTTTCAGAAAGAGCGCGAAGCGCTACACAAGGAGGAAGAGGTTTTGGAAGTTGAAAGGCAAAGAGCGATTGTTATGGAAGACCAGTTAACAGCTGGGAATAAACAAATGCAAGTGTGCCAGGTTCGTGGTTTTTGGTGTATAAGACGTCCTATGACTTTTCATCTAATAATTTCCTTCATCGCTTTGATCTAGCATATTCACAATGGCTCCCTTTTTTGCTTTCCGGTCGCGATTTTGTGACCGCCGCTTCACCTCACATCCGTGGATTTTGTTTTGTAAATGGACAAAATCGTGAATGTAGTACTAAAGTATAATATCTCAGCAATTTCAACGCGTACAGCTTACCTAAAGATGTGATAGTAAAATTTCGATCAAAAAACGAGTAATGGGAGTGAAAGGCAACACTTATTTATTCACTTTCGCATAAGTGGAAGTTGAAAGCATTTTTAACTCTATTGTATTCCTTATAAATATTGTTGTCTCTACTTTTAGTACTCTTTTTATTCACATGTTTATGGCAATAAAAAAAAGATAAATTAATCGCACCAAAACTTCATATGGCTCAGGAAAACTTTTCTGAAACTTGGATATGAAATCTTTCGGTGAAACTTGTCGTTTATAATTACGTATTAGTCTTTAATTCGCTAATATCATAAGTACCCATGAAATTACGGTACAAGCGACAAGCAAGCGATTATTAGCTGGCAACGATCGTATAGACCGCCATCGTCCCGTGAGCAACTTTCCTTGGCAGGCCATATGGGCTGCCGTCGGCGCGAATGTGTTGAAAGCCGTTCACGAAACAATATGTACAAGCTCAGCAACAGTATAAGACCCCGAAAGTTGTTCAAAAAATCAAATAGATTCAAATCCTATTATATATCGAACAAACAAATCATCCTGTCGCAAGTCGGTGGCTTACTGCTTCCGATGGTTTCAGTGTGAATTCTCCCTGTATTTCATTTATTTATATCGCCTGTATCACCTGTCGTCCCGTCGTTCATGGGGTGTTGAGCAGTCGCCAGCAATGACGCTCTATTAGTTCCTTTCGCATGCCAAAGAGCTTCAATAGGTTCTCGTCGCTCCAGCTCAATTGCACGGCCATAATCGCTTACTCTCGGAGCGGTTTCTTTGCGGAAATCAGCCGCGATGTTTCTCAAAGAAATTGTTATATTCGTCCTCAGCATACTATATCACCTCTAGTTGCGTGTTTTAGCAAATTAGGTGGTCTAACATGCTTGGGCACGGCCCGCCGTTATTGGCAGCGCACTTCCTGGTGTGCTCGCGATCCCTTAGCGCCTTTCCACATGCCATCCTGTGCGCCGTTCGACCTCACCACACCGACTAACCAGCGTTCATGATTGATATGCATCCTCTCATCACTGATATGGCGAAACCCACGAGGAAACATTCGC